AAATAGATATTACATCGGGAGAAAGAAGGGCTTTATGCCCCTCCAATTTTAATATGTAAGGTAAAACCTTACGACTATAATTTAAGCATATCCCTTTGTCAGGAATTAGCTCCCCCTACTTTTAATTGGTCTCTTTCAAGGTAATCATTTGCTTATAAAATTTTTTTAATTAGGATGAAGTGCTTTCAGAATATCTTCCTGGTGAAATGCTGTACTGAACTAACTGACCTGTATGTTGCCACCTTTCTGTGCATAATGATTGAACAAGAAATGGTACCATTATATTATTGAAATTTTAAATAGATGAAAAAATAACTCTATTAAAAATATTATTATTATTATGAATCATAATTACATTATGTTATTATTTGTACAATCTGACCATTGTAAAAAAACCAGTAATTTGATGACACACACAAAGAACATATCGAAACATGTTAAAGAATAATAGATTTACAAAATTTGTTTTTTTGAAAGATATCAGGCTGTCGCTATCTTGACATGACAGTGAAGAAATTATAAAGCTTTGAAAGGAGAAAGAGATGAATGGGCAGTGATGAGTTTCTCTGTTGAGTGACATGGTTTATGCTCAGCCAAGACAGTGCATCAAAAGCCAGAAGGACAGAACTAGATGTAGACAATACAGAATAAATTACTGTATAGAAGGAAATTTTGGAGTTAAATTTGGCAAGTTGCTAAATTTTGGTGATTAGCGAATTTGTGCCTTTGTGCAATTGAGCATGCACATAATGGCTCAAAATGGCAGATTTTATTTTGGCAAATGGCTATCAAAATGCCAAATTCAACTACATATGTCTCCAAAATTTCCTTCTATAGGGTATTTAGCCAGTGATTATAATAATTACAACTTACCAGAGTACATCAGGAGGGCTACCGGGATATGCATGGACTGACAGATGACTATGGAGTAGTGTCTAAATAACAGTGAAAGATTTGAAAATAATGAATAATTGCCTTAAACTGTTTAGAATTGACCTAAAATGGCAAGGAGAGAATTCTCCATTTTTCATAATCGCAAAAATTTTAAGTGAATTCTGATCAAACTTGAATTTCAAAAGTTCCTCTAAAAGGCATGTAAAGCTCATGAAGTGTGCTGTTTAGCACGCTTTGTAGGTACCCTGGTGACAATACAATATTATTTCAATGACACAACCAGTACTGCTATAGACTCCAGGTCTGATGTACATGTACACATGTATATTATCCAGTTGTGATTATTTACATACACATGTACATGTAATTACAATGTCATTCTATACCTTGAACATGTGACACATTGACTGTGGTTTATCATGACCCCAAAATTCAGTTGGGAGGTTCCCTGGAGGAGTGGTTGAAATAAGATAACCAGTTGCTAAAGGTGCTCGAACATCCTCTTTATAAGTGGTACTTGGAAAATCAATATCCATTTCATTTAATCCCTAAACAAGTTAATATCATACATAATACACTGCTGGGGAATACTGTGCCTTACTTCGAACAAGTCCTCTTGCATATTGCCAGGGAGGGTTACATCTGTCGTATCAACGAAATCATTAATCATACTTGCAAAATCCATTCCTCCTTCCTCGGCAGCAGGTGTCATGGCAGGGAGAGAGTTAGGGCGAGGAGGTAAAACAAGCACATGAGACACAGAAGAGTTTATATCTACATGTACATGTGTATGAGTACAATGATAAATGAAACTTGATACACACTGGACTGTGTAGGGCATTACCATTGGATGGAAAGAGTTGAATGTTCCTTTCAGGTTGAACAGAAACAATTATAACATTTTTGATGCTTGGAAAGCATGAAGAATGAGCACAGTAATCGCATTCACCCTTTAATAACTGGTTAGCTGTCATTAGTCCATCATTGAATATAAC